AGAGGACAATATATATATATATATATACATACACACACACAAACACATACACACTGAAGGATACAGGGCTGCGGATGTAGCTCAGCGGTAATGCACCTGACTGGTCCTGCATTTGAGCCCCTGTACCAGGTGTGGGGGTGAGGGTGGTAGTGAAGGATATAGAAATGGAAAGCTATTCTACCACAATGGTAAAATAGTGTATCACAGGGCTGTGAAGTTAGCTCAGTGGTACCTGGAGATGCCAGGAAGGTACAGGGGAAAACAACTGTATAGAAAGTGAATAATGTAACAACCCTCCCCCCAAAAATAAGGAATGATGATTCAACTGATGCATAATGAGTTTAAGATACTTATGGATTATCTAGAGCGATCTAGGCGGCAATGAAAAATGAAATCTAAAGCTCAGCTCAGGGAAAAAAACTTTTAAAAATTTATTTAAAAAATGATCAAATGTACAAAGAACAATCAATAATATAATGAACCTACCACCTATACACAAATGATTGCTAATATTTTATATTTGGGCTGAATCATCTCAAAGTTAACTGAAGATGTGATACTTCAAAAAATATTTCAGCCAAGTTTCTCTATATATTATTCTTCCATACAACTTTAATAATGTTGTATCTAACAAAAATGGATAATTTCCCAGTGACCACTAACATTCAAAATGACCACACCCTAATTTACAATTATATATTGCAACACATGACTAGATCTCTAAAGTCTTGTTTTCTCTGGAATGGCAGACCTTCTCACCACCTTCATATTTTTAAAAAGGATTATCAGATTTATCTTATATTACAATATTTATAACATAACAGATTGTATTATTCAATATTTTTAACTTAAAATATCAAGACCTACAATTCTATGTAATCTTTTTGAAGGCAAATTATTTCTATTAATTTATTCCTAGTCCAACACTGTAAACAAATAAAAATTACATGTATTATGTAACAACAGCACTATGAAACCAAAGTCTATGCATGCCTATAGTCTCAGGTACTCGGGAGGGTAAGGCTGAATACCAAGTATTGCTTGAGCCCAGGACTTCAAAGACAGCCTGGACAAAACAATGTGACCTTCCCCGCTTTTTTCCAAAGTAAAACAGGAGTCTAAGGAAGGAGAATCACAAGTTCAGGCCAGTCTAACTTAGTGAGACCCTGTCTAAAAACAAAAAAAATCCTCAGAAAGGGCTCGGGATGTACGTAGCTCAGTGGTACAGCACTTTCCTAACTTATCTATCTACATGGCCCTAGGTTCAATAAGGGAGCAACACAACTATACCCCAAGGTTTAAAAACAAACGAAATTTAGAAAAAAATAGGCAAAAAATCTGAATGTCATTTCTCTGAGAGGATATAGAGATGAACAATAAAAACCTGAAAAACTGCTCAACACCATTAATCACTAGGGAAATGAGAGTCAAAACCACAATGAAGTAGCACTCATCATGGGAGCCTTGAACACTCTGGCAGGAACAGTACAGTCGGGTAAGGAGCAAGGCAGTTTCTCAGAAAGTTAAACATAGAACTATCACATGACCTTAGCAATTCCAACTCTAAAAAAACTGAAGCCAGGTATTCAATTATTTGCATCACTACCTCTAAGTCAAGACAGAAATAATCTAAGATTAACAAAATGTAGTAGACATACAATGGAATTATTAACCATAAGGATACAAATTATGACTCATGCTACAACATGGATGAACCTTGAGGACACTGTTAATTCAGTCAATCAAAAATGGACAAATACTGTACGATTCCACTTATATGAGGTACGTAGAATATACAATTCATAAAGACAGAAAGTAGACCGGTGATTACTAAGGGCTGGAACACGAAGGGAACCGGGAGTTAGTATTTAATGAGTACAAAGTTTTAGTCTTACAAGGCAAAAGGAGCTCTGGAAATGGATTGGTGGTGGACATGGTTGCACAACATCAATATATTAATATACTTAATACTACTCAACTGTATATTTAGGATAATGGTAAATTTTATCTTTTTTTGGTACTGGGAATTGAACTCCAGACCTTGTGCTTGTGAGGCAGGCAGTGGAACCACTGAGCTAAATCTCCGGCTAAATGGTTTTGTGTTTGTTTGTCATCCATTCATCTCTTGATGGGTATATAGGCGGTTTCCAAAATTTGGCTATTATCAATTGTGCCGCTATAAACACGGGTATGGATCATTGTAGTATGCTGACTTTAACTCTTTCAGGAAGATACCTAAAAGGGACATAGCTAGGTCAAATGAAATTTCTATTTTTAGATTTTTGAGGAATTTCTAAACTGATCTCTAGTGGTTGTACTAGTTTACATTCTTAACAGTGCAGAAGGGTTCCCTTTTCCCCACAACCTCACCAGCATTTGTTAAATGGGATCAGGTTGGGAGAGAGCAGGGAGGGGTGGGAGGGAAAAGGGAAAAAGAATAATTAAGATATTATGTACATGTACAAACTCCCCATGACAAATGTAATCTTTGTGTACTGCAAACATGTACTAAGAAAAATACATAATTAACAAAAATGAATAAATTAAATGATAACTAATGCAGAAAAAAGTCAAAGCCATGATCTCTCAGAATTAATGTGTGGCAACATTGATAATAATTTCAATTACAAAAGCAAAATTATCAGGTTACTAGATCCTTCAAAGTTATCTAACTCTACATAAATAGGGTAAGCCATGATCTCTCAGAATTAATGTGTGGCAACATTGATAATAATTTCAATTACAAAAGCAAATTATCAGGTTACTAGATCCTTCAAAGTTATCTAACTCTACATAAATAGGCTGGACCAGGAAGAGTCTTGGGCCAAGAATCAAAGTTCCAAAAGAAGAGGGGAAACAGCAGGAAGCTCCAAATGATGAGGAAATCCAACACTTACCAAGCAGCACCAAAGAATGAGATGCAACAGATGGATAGATTACTAACTTACCATTTTCAGGACTCCCAATAGTAACGCCCAATTTACACAACCACTTCATTTTATTTAAAAAAATTTTTTTAAAATTTAAGGTCATAAAAACCTTTTATACTCTGTGAACAAACTATGGGAGAAATCACTGAAAACTTGATTCGTTTCAAAACAAATGAAATAAAAGGAAGTTAAAACCATATGTCCTTTTTGGTTTTTAACTCTGATCTCTGGAAAGGTACAGGATTCCTCTACCCAGTGACCTTTTTCTATACTTCCTCTTAAACGCAAATGTAACACCAGCATGTCAATCACTTAGCCCATCATGACTGTGTGGTATATTTCTGTTCTGCTAACACCAACCCCTCCCTGATTGCTGCTCTTTCTCCTTCCTAAGAAGTGATGGAAACATCACTATTCTAAGTGATAAAAGTCATGGATTACATACATATACATGAGTCTGGAAACCACACACCAAACTATAAATAGAGGCTGAAAGGAAAAATGGGAATGGAGAAAAGAAGTAATGGGGACCTTCATTTTTTTCCTAACTCAGAAACAATATCCTTTGTTTCTTTTTTAACATAAATACATATCATGTATTACTGGTGTAGTGCACAATATGAAAAACAAGGATTAAAAATGTGTTGAGTTGGGCATGATGAGACATGCCTATAATCCCATTACTCAGAAGACTGATGCAGGAGGATCACAAATCCAAGGTCAGCCTTAGGTAACTTAGCAGGACCCTGTCACAATTTAACATTAAGGGGTAGGCACATAGTTCTTTGGTAGAGCATTTACTTAGCAGACATAATACTGGATTCAATACTGATTATGGAAATGGGGAGGATGAGATGGCATATATGGATCTGTTTCAAAATTTTAAAAGTAGAAAATAAAAGTTCTCTACCTAAACATTTTTCACAAAAATAACCTATAATTGTCTCATTGTCAACTCGTTCCCACTGGCTTGGACCACCAGTGGTACATGAATCACTGTCTCATAGGCTGGCTTGTACCATTCGTGGTAGAAACTGATCTGATCACTTTTGTTTACCTTTCTCTAATAAAATTAATAAAAAGCCACCCTATGGGAAAGTCACACAGATACCACTGGTGGGTTAAGCCACCCAGCAGCAAGACATATGAATTATGGCCCTGTTGTGAACATGTTAAACTGCCCTCCATAAACACTACCTAAATCTTCACTCCCAGAGAGAATGTCTGTTTTTCATATTCACAACCACTTATTAATCATTCCCAATCTGAGAAGAATTAAACAAAAAGATGTGTTACTTATTTTTCTTTCCATGTTTGCTTTCTTGTGAAGCTGCAATACTTTTAAACCACTTTTTAAATGAACTGTTTCTTTTGACACAAAACTCTCCGCCATACAGAAAATTTCCATTTTGATATATCAAATTTTAAAAGATCAAAAGATCTTTACTATTCCTCAATTCCATAAACATTCACCCAGGTTGTATTGTGGTGGTTTCTGTTGTTGTTAACAAATAGGCAGTTTTTCCAACATGACTTACCCACTGTTTTAAATACATCTGCAATACCAACAATGAACTATATATTTCACAAAGTCAGAAGGTGCCTGAAAGTTCTTACCGTAGACAAATATTTAAGATGACAGGCATGTTTAACTTGACAACACAATGTAGTAAAAGTATCAAATTATCACATGGCCCCATGAAAATGTACAAGTGTACAAGCTAAAAAATAATTTATTTGAATGGAATAAATGAATAAATGCAT